CGTCATTCGGCCATCTTGAATCAGATTGTTAAACAAAATGATGTGCATCAAGGTCCTATAATGTCTAATGTATATACCAATTTTGAACAAAATCCATCTGTAAACAGCCGAAAATGCTTGATTTTGATGAGTTTTAGCACAAAAATGGCCGCCATTCGGCCATCTTGAATCAGATCGTGAAACAAATTGACGTGCATATGTATGATATCATGTATGATGTATGTGTGAAGTTTGATTGTGATTGGTCCGGGCATTTCTAAGATACAGGTCCGGACGGACGCACACATGCACGGAGGTCAAAACACAAGTCCCCGTTTTCGGACTGTGTCCGAACGGGGACTAATTAAAGTGCCTGTGAAATGCCTACTATTTTATGGCTTATATTACACTTCAAATATATACTAGTACAAATGTTAGTCATTGTATGATCACAGAAAATAAATACAAGCCGGTACGCTGCTTGACGATCCGCTCCGCTCAAAAACAAGCACCATGTTTTTGGCTGTTTCCATGGTGTGACATAAACGTGAAGCTAACGTCGGTTTATAACTAATACGAAGTTCGCAAACACCATTCAGTTTTTGGAAGTCACTTAGTTTATTACTAGGACCACAATCACTCTCCTAGTCGAGTGACTGTGCTAGGACGTATTCTGCTGTTACATTTATTATTTCCAACCGTTTTGCGATAGCATTTTCTAGAATGAAGCGTTTCCTGTAAATGCCGGAAAGCGAAATAACGAAATAACGAGATGGTAAATACTTACCTAAAGTACAGTGTGTTGACCTTCATAATAATATACTTCATAATGCAAAACATTAGTCACGGTGAGTTATTTAAATATACGACTCCTAATCGAAAAATATGACCACAGTCCAGAATTTCAGACAGATATTAAGAAACCTAAGAGCATATCAAAAGCATTTACTCTAAAATATAAAAAAGAACTGCAATCAAAAGTCAAGAATGCCAGCAAATAAAGGACTCTGCCCCACAATCCTTTGTGCGCGTTATTACGGACACGCGCAAAAAACTGTACCACGCTTGTCAAATCTGGGTCAAATATACTGTACGCCACAGTGGAGTGTTCGGTGACCATTGAATTAGCCCGTGATTCATATTTTATGTGTATTAATTTATTCATCAATTTTCGTGACTGACAGTACTGCCCAAATTTTAGTCAAAAAAACGCAACTAGTGAAACGGAAGAGCATTGCCAGGCGATGGACGCGGGGCTCTTTGGCGACGACCGCATAGAGGTCAAAATACGCGTTCTATTTTTACGCGTTAAATATGGCTCTTCCATTTTGCCCCCTCCGGAATGTTCTACTTTCGCAGCCTAATCGCAGGTTTTTCGAAAAACGTCGAAAAAACACAAGAATTAGTAGAAATGTTCCTGCTTTGGGCGGATTATTGATGGAGAATAATGTCTTTATTACAAAAATGCTGAAAAACCGTGAGTTGTTGCTTTAGTTATTTTTTATTGGCGAAAAACTGCGAACTCGGCAAATTTGGTTGCACAACTTCCCTTTATCATATACACCCAGCGACACCGATAAAACTGGTAGGAGGTAATACATTTGGGGCGAAGTATTAAAAATCAGTTTTTGGCAATGGCAATGTGGGCCAAGATTGTTTCAATTAGTGACGGCACGACCTACCTGTGAAGTATGAACAAAACCGGCTGAGCGAACAATCACAGA